AGGTAGAAGAAAACAGCATACTCTGTGGTTTGTATGATTTTAATTCTTATTTATATCAGATCAAAACTACAGCAGTCCTTCTATCTCCAAACCCAGACTTTCCTAGAACAGAATCATACCAAATGATAATATACAAAATAACACCAAATAAAACAGATATGAGTCCAACATTTTCTCTGGCTAAAGGGATTTGAGAACAGGTTTCATAAAAATATCTCTTTGTAGGGAACTGTTTGCAATCATTAAAAACACAAGCACTTTTCTAAGATAAAGGACCATCAGGATGGTGAAGTTCACTTTACATTTATGCATTAGTAGTGTCCTAAGGTGTGTTTATTTAGCAGAAAGCAGGTTAGGATCAGACTTGCAAGATCTCCAGCTGGTATTAAAAATGGCATAGAGATATACTGTTCTATAAATAACACTTATATCAATTTTACCTTTGGAAAAACTGTTCCATAAGAGTTTCGTATGCTATTTTTGAGAAATTTTGTATCAAATAAGCTAATTTTATTTTATATATTTATTGGTCTGCAAGTCACTGACAGGTGTTATGTTTAAAAAAAAACCAAAACAGAAAGCTTGGAAATGGCTTGCTAAATAAATATTTTACATATATGTCAACATATATGTACATATATATACATACTTTTATAGATAATATTATTTATAATATAATAAGGTTAATATCTAAAAAACTGAAATAAAAAATCAGATTTTGAAACATTTTTATTTTAATATGTAGCTAGAAGGGGATAGCATAGTTTAATTCATGGTATTAGTAGAATTTAACCAGGAGTGTAAAAGAGAAAATTGTAATTAGATAGTTATTTATGTGCATTAATCTTAATTGTTTTGCTGACTTGAATAGGCCTGTGAAGAAGAACATCTGTTTTTTTTGTGAAATTCCTAATTTGAGTTGTTTCTTGCCAGCAAACACAAGACTCACAATATTAGGGGGCAATTCTTCCAATATAGTTAGAAAGAAGCAATTCCAAACATGCTTTAAGCATTTTGTCCACTTAAGTGAATTAGGAGGCAGGAACTATTAGCTTCAACTAGGATGTAACAAAACCTGCAGGCAAAAATATTTATACTAGATATATAGTCAGATGAGACTGTTTAGATTTAAACACACAGTTTATTCTGTGTGCTCATTCATTCTCACCTGTAACACAAAAAAGAATAAATTTTGACTTCTACATTGAAGTCACACAATACCTCCTACAAGATATGTGGAAACTTTTCTTGGGAGGCTAAGAACTGAAAAACTAATTGACTTAATTGTAGTGCAACATCATTATACACAGCCAATGTAACTGCCACCCAGACTTACACAGAGACATCCTCCAATGTAAGTTATATTTTTAGAGAGAATAGCCATAGGTGGTGTATAAGTTAGAAAGCAGAAGATGGAATCATAGAATCACAGAATAATTTGGGTTGGAAGGGGCATACAAAGATCATAGATTCTGGTGACCTCTTCAAATCTGGTCCAGTAAGGCTAAGGTCTTCAGAGCCTCATCCAATTCAGAACTTTGAATATCTTTAATCATGTAATTTCCACAGGTTGTCTAGGCATTGCTAGCTTCACTACCCACATGATAAAAAAAGAATTTTCTTATATGTAGTCAGATTTTTAGGTGTTTCAGTTTGTGTCCTGTTACTAGATCTTTGAGAGGAGTCCTGCTTTGTTTTCTTTACATCCTCATATAACGTAGCTGTAGACAGCAATAAGACCCCTCATTACCTTTTTCTTCTCCAGCCTGCCCATTTTAGCATCTCCTTATATGGTCCCTTACCACCTAGGTTGTCTCTGCTGGACTCATTCCAATGTGCCAATGTCTTTTTTGTACCAGGAAAGCCAGCACTGAACACGGAACTCCAGTGCTGGACAAAGAAGTAGAGTCATTTCCCTTGACCTGCTGGCTATATTCTTGTTAATGCATCCCAGAGTGCTGTTGACCTTTCTTGCAAGGACATATCATGAACAGCAAGACCTAATAGTCTGAGGACTGGAAAAGCCTTAGCTTTTCAATCATCAGATGTGGGACATCCCACATCTGAGCACCCACCAAGCAGCAAAACTCCTAGGGCATCAAGTCAGGTTGGCAGATGGTTGGACCCATCCTCTGCAGGACATAGTCTGCAGTCACTGTCGTTTGCCACTATGTTTGGTGCAGACACTTGTTTCCACTCAGCTGACACAGGTGCTTCCCTTCTGAGAGCTGTTCCTACTCAGCTGTTGCTAGGTGCAGGTGAAGCTGAAGCTGCAGATATGCAGGTGGAGTATGAATAGTCCTTCTAGTACCAGAAGGCAAATGTCTCCTGCCCTCTTTATCATTGTCCCTAGTGCTTCCTTCAGTGTGGTCTCTACCTGCAGTTTGCTCCTTGCAGCTCAGGACTCAGGCTTTTGTCTCTGCAGGGTGCCTGCACAAATATTGTTGATTTATGTGTGTTGTGATTTAACTCTGATAGTCAGCTAACTCCATACAGCCACTCACTCACTCCCCCAACAAGGGGCTAGGAAGGTAATAGCAAAGGCAAAAGCAAAAAAACACATGGGTTGAGACAAAGACTGTTCAGTAGATGCAGTAACAGCTGCATGCTCAAGCAAAGCAGAATGAGGAATTTATTCACTGCTTCCCATGGGCAGGCAGTGTTCAGCCATCTCCTGACCAGCAGGATGTAACAGTTACTTGTGAAGATAAACCTGGAACGTCATCTCCTTCCTCCTTCTTCCCCAGCTTTACATGCCGAGCATAACCCCATGTGGTATGGAATATCCCTTTGACCACTTTGGGTCAGCTGTCCCAGCTGTGTCCCCTCCCAATTTCTTGTATACCTCCAGACTTCTCACTGGTGGAGAGGGGTGAGAAGCTGAAAAGGCCATAACCCTGTGTAAGCACTGCTCAGTGATAACTAAAACACTGCTCTATTATCAGCATTGCTCTTGGGGTCACAAATCCAAAATATAGTCCTCTACTAGCTACTATGAAGAAAATAAACTCTGTCCCAAACAAAACCAGTGCAATATGATTCTGTGAGTCTGCCATCACCTGTTCCCCCTTCACTGATAATGCAAGGGAGGAGAGCTAATGAAAGAGTTATCCATTGGATGTGAAGCTGTTGATGTTGTTATCCCTGCAATAAAAAGAGACAATAAAGAAGAAAATGCATATTCTAGCAGTCTAAATATTCATGTCCCTATAGCAAATGGAGGTTATTAAGTTAACTCTTAGAAAAATAGATAGGAGATCATTTAAGGCATTACAAAGACAGTAGAAATGGCAGACAGTCAAGAATGGTCTAGCTGGCCATAAATTAGAAGAGTACCAATCCCAGAGGGAACAAAAAGAGGGGATACAAAAATCTTAAATGTGAAGAAATCGCCCTATTTCAATAAGATTAAGAGCTTCTCTAATGAATACAATTGGCAAGGGAAGTATTTAGCAATGTATAGTACCACTTAAGTTCTATTAAGTACTTGCATTTCCTTATGACTATTCCTCTGGGATAATTTGAAGGGCAAATAGTCTCTTCTGGCAGGGTAGGAAGAATGCTTTCTGTTTCTTTTTCTTTATGGATTTGTCAGAAATAGAGAAATCTTCCAATGCACATGATTTATCAGTTGTAAGAGAAAAAGAGTTTTCAACTTGCAAAACTAATCTGTCTTTGGAAGACAGATTACTACAGAAGAAGGACATTGAAATGTGCAGCCAAGCTAAATTTCACATTAGTGGGGGAGCACAAACAGAATCTGATGGGTCCATTATTTATCTACAGTTATATAATGCATTTTTGTCCTGTACCTCTCTGCAGTTCTTGAAGTTCCACAATGGTTAACTTCAATTTTAACATTATCATTACAGAAACTGGAAACTCAGGGCCTTTCAAACATGAAAGCAAGCTATTATCATATTGTACTGCCCACTGTTGCTGAAGTACTTAAAAAGACATCTTTTCTCTCTGTTATGTGTAAGTACAGGTAAGACTCCTACAATGAATAATTGCTAATGGGGCAGGAGGGCATTCTGCCACTGTAATTTGCACAAACTTTCTGTATTTTAGGTCAGGATCACCACTTCTGCTTCATTGTCACCACACTGCCTTATCCCAACCCACACTAAAGAGTGATGAATAGATTGCAAGCTATGCGCCCTCAAGAAAAGTGAGGTTTTTATCAGAATAGGCATTTATGTTATCAGTGCATTCACATGCATCTGCACCAATGTAAATTATTTTAAAAAAATACCACTGTCTCTTGCCTCCTCTATAAAACGTGGGACAGAGATCTGTCATCAGCTGTGAGGAAAAGTATAGTGGCCTTTCTTTATAAAGCATCCAGTCCTATTGAAAGGGAGAGATTTTTCACCAGCCTTGTGTATTATCAGGTCCTGCATATAGACACTGATTATAAAAACTTACCTAGATGGCATAAGGGTATGGCCATGGCACCAGCTGAAGAAGGGGTTGGAGTGCAAGTAGAAAGATTTTCAAAGGAATCTAAAGGAAGTAAAAGCTCCTGACAGTTTCAAAATCAGTATACAGACAAGAATGCTTTTTTGAAGAAGCATTTTAGTTTATTATTCTATATTCAAAAAAACTAGGCAAACTTTTGCCAATAAATTTAACTCACAATATGTTTTTAAGAGACCAGGTTCATCCTGCAATGTCTGCAGAAATACATTGAACATAGAGTCCTGAGAAATTTACAAGGGAGATATTGTTGCTCCCTTTCTATGATAGCACGATGTGCTATTGAACAGCCACAATTTTCTGGTTCATTATTTTGTTAGTTCTGAAAATTTAAAAATATATTTCTTGTATTTATAGCCTTAATTTAAAATCAAATTATTTTTTTTTCTCATTCTGTCTTTAATGTTTTTCCAGGCTTGTGTTCTGGATCTGCAAAGACTGCATATTACTGCTGAACTTGCAAGTGTGATCCTTTCTCAATGGAGGAAGTTTCTGCTATTTTTTCATCCAAGAGTGGCCTTGAACTTCTTGCCATGTTTACAATACATGTCAGTCAGGTTCACCCAAACTACTTGCTTGTGAGAAGTCCCGACAATACTGTGAGAAGGTGATCTAACCATAGAGAGCTGCCAAAATGAAATTTGGCTGCCAGTCAAGCATGCATTTTAAAAGAAATATGACTGCAAAGTCTCCCAAACATTTTTAAAAAAAGTGATTGCAAATTAAAATCTCTCTAGCAGATGGAAAAGTGGAACCATCTGGCAATAGGCCAGAAATCATTTTTGTTTTGCATTTAAGTTTTTTTGGATGTATGCCACCAAACCAAATCTAGCATCTGTTTCTGCAGCTGCTGCACAGGGAAACAGTAATTCCTCAGGCTAAAAGTTGCACAACAACAAATATCAAAGTAACTCTATTGATGAGTGATCAGTAAGGGTCAGGAGACTTCTTAATTCTCACCCTTATGATCTGTGAATTGAAATCAAGTAGTGAATTTAAAGAGATCTGATTTAAAGCAAATCTCAATACTGATAGAAGCTAATTTTGCATTCTCAAAGAATATTTTCCCATTTTAATCCAGACAGATGTATATCTGCAAAGTACTTAGCACATGAATGGAAAAGAAAAGCTATGTTTCATAAATCATTCCATCTCCCATAGAACACCTTTTAACTTTGGTCTTAACAAAGAGTTCAGCACACTAGAAATCAAAACTCTCCCTCTGAGATGTCTAGTTTAATCTTCTCTATTGATTTGATAAGGGTGATGACCTGTTGCTTTCTGTAAAACCATTTAAGAAATATTAAATTAATTATACTATAGAGAGGATCAGTGTGAAAGATGGAGTGAGACAATATCCTTATTATATAGGTAGGACTATTAGCGATAAATGAGATAAATAGAGAATTAGTATATCCTGCATCTCCATTAGTAAATTTCTCCTTCCTTCCTTGTTACATTCAAAGTCTTGCAAAGAGTAAAAAGGAACATGCCTTCTATGTGGAACCAATAATTTTTTATTAGTCTAATTAAAGCCTTAGGAGTTTAATCAAAATGCAAAAGGAGTTATTATTATTACAGTTATGTGGAAGCTAACACATTCACTAATACAATGGAAATACATACATATTATACCCACTTGGGTCTTCCTATAGTGTTATGTTTATGCTTCCAAGGGTCCTCTGAGTCCTAAGGTCTACAGCTTTTGTCTTCAAGAAAAATTGGACCAGAGTGTTATGACAAGTCATCAGAATCCTGAGGTTCTTGCTGAGAAAGGTTACGTTGATGGTGCAAATTTATTCCTCCTTGGTCTTGAGCCCACTTTTTAAATTATTATATTTTTAATAAATATATGTTTATACATGAGATAGTGGTATGAAAAGAAAGAACTACATAACAGCTTTTAGGAGAACTAAAACTTCCATAATAAAAATCAAGTAGGATATATTGTGTGAAATATATGTGGGGTCTTTAGTCAGTGTATTCTAAATACAGTTATTCTCATTATAGAGTTCTGCTGGCATATTCTATTTTGTGTGTCACTTTGTAGTCATACATCTTATTTTCTGTTTTTATTTTGATATCTTTCAAAGCCTTCTTATGAATATTAAAAACCTCTTCAGATCTATTTAGTTTAAAATGGTAGCCATTACGAATTTTAGCTCCTTTTAGCTCTCTTTCTTTCCAGTTTTCTGCAGCTACTTTTGCAAGCTTGGCATCACTGTTGCTATCAGTGAGTGTGACACAAATGGGAAGTAAACACACTTCAGCACTATCTTGGCTTGAGAATGGAATGCTGCCAGCCTTCTGTTCTTGCCTTTAGTTCACTGAACAGTAGTTCAGCTGCAATTCATGACTGAGAAATAAATTTTTCACCTTCATTTTTTCAATGCTGTTATAAACAGACTACACAGACATCATCCTTAGACTAAGTCAGCATAAACTGATGCACCAACTTCAGCAAATGAAGACTGAGAAAAAAACATAACATCTTGGTTAAAGAAATTGAAGTCTATTATTTCGCCCATACTTTATGAAAAAGGATGATTCTGTCATATCACACTTTGACTTTTACCAATCATAAAAATACTTGGATGATGAAAAAATTTCCTCTTTCTACATTCCTAAATAGACATGAGAAATTGGTCCACTTTCACAGGGAGACTGAGAAGGAAACAAAGTTGTCAAACTGAAAATACCATTGCCTTGAGGGCAAGACTTATGAGGATCATCTTAGGTCACATATTTTGTTCGGCTTGAAAAAGAGAAGGTTGAGGGATGATTTCATCACAGACTACAACTTCCTCAAAGGGGACAGTGGAGGGGAAGGTTCTGATCTCCTCTCTCTGATGACCTATGATAGGACACAAGGAAATGTAATGAAGCTGCATCAAAAGAAGTTCAGATAGGATATTAGGTAAAGGTTCTTCACCCAGAGGGTCGGTCACTGGAACAGGCTCCCCAGGGAAGGTGGTCAGGAAACCAAGCCTTTTAGAGTTCAAGGAGCATCGGGAAGATGTTCTTAGTCATATGGCTTAGTTTTAGATAGTCCTGTGAGAAGCAGGTAGTTGGACTTTATGATCTTAATGGGTCCCTTCTGATGAGATATTCTATTATTCTCTTCCCCCAAAGAGAAAAAAAATATCATGGAGAAGAGCTGCAATATGATGAGTTGCTAGACTTCAACTAGGATCTGAAACGTCCTTTTTGAATTTTCTTTGGATCCAAATGTAGTTTTTTCTGCTGATAGTTGCCTTGGGTTTTACAAAACAATGACATGTGAGTTGGTTTTGTTTTCTTTTATTTTTTCTTATTTCTTCCCTCCCCCTCCACCCCAAAATCCTTCTCTCAAATTCCTTCCTTCTCAATATTCTGTAAATAATCTGTAGATTATGGAACTATATGGAAAATCTTACATATAAAATAAAGACTTAAATTTAGGACTTTTAGTTCGCAGTTTTGTATATTAAGAGGACTGTCCATCAAAAAGCCATCCTACTAAAAAATCGGTTGGAACTGTTCTTTTTCCACATGCATATAAGTTCACATTTCAGCAATTCAGCTTCAGTTAACAGCTCCCCAATGAACTAAAATTAATTCCACCATAAGGATTTTTATTGCTGACATCCTAAAATTTGAACATCATTCCACCTTTTTCATCCAGAAACACACTTTATTGCTTGTGTAGCTATTAAATAAATCTGACTATTATTTTCCCCGTGAAGGTACATACCATGAACATCACATTTCTTTTAGTATTCTCAGGGAAATACTGAAGTTCATTTGTGACCATGATCTTAAAAACTGAGTTCACTGCTTTAAAAAAAGTCAAATTATTTTTAATTTATTTTTCTCACTTTTTATCTGTTCCAAACATTTTATTTTTTTAATATTTTATTTAAATTAATTTCTGGTAATATTTAAAAAATCAATGATTTTCTGTTCTTTTTTCTTATGCAGGTGGTGTTCTTACCCATATGTAACCAGGAAACATCTCCTTGGCAGTTCTAGGAAGATGACAATAGTCTAGAAAGAAGGAGATTAACTGGTAATTTCTTCATAAAATAATTGAAATACATTTGATTTCTTAAGAATTAATCACAGAATAAAACTAATTTTTAAGATTACAATTTATTAGAATAAATATCTATATTTTACTTCTCTTATTTACTAGAATTTAGAGCAATGAGGTAGTCAATTTGACATTAATAAGAACCAGGTTGCAATTATTGCTTTTATAGGAACTTTATGAATTAAAATAAAAGACAGAGAAAGAAATTTAAATTAAAATAAAAATTTCTATTGCAATGTAACCTAATTAACGCTTTCTTTTCATAAGTCTTAATGAATCAATTATTTATTAAAACAACTAAGTATTGTATACAGTAGAGTAGTTTCAAATATTGGAAAAAAGATTTAGTTCAGGTGAAAAGAAAATACCATTTCCACATCATCAACAACTTCATCTGGATAAATAGCAAAATGTTGTCTTTTGTTCACTATATTATACAACCAGCATTCTTCAGCTTGGTTGTAGACACAAAGAGCAGATGCTTGATTTAAAACAAGGATGCAGTGCCATGCCATAGCAAAAACAAGGCAGCTTAAGAAAATGACAGTACTAACGTTCTGCTATCTTACACTAATGGGAGTTGGCAACATAACAGTGTATGTCATTATAAGCTGTCATCATGAAAAATTATAAGAGACACCAAGTTGCCAGAGCTGTTACATTTACTGAGGCCCTTACTATTTGAGTTGTTCTGCTTGCAGAAGGGAACAAAAAAAAAAAAAAAAGGCAAATCAGGAGAGTTTTCTGAAAGCCATTTAAAAGGAAGATATGTTTCCTAGAATTTTTCTGCTTCTTATACATTCCTGCATGCTGCATAGCTTATACACTAAACAAGAACATTGGAATTGCTGGCATACAATGGACAAGATGACCATATAAGTTTTTATATGAGAAAAATTCTTATTAAAAAAATGCAGAATTTAATGGAATGTATGATGTCCTCAACAGCATACAAGGGAGCATTGCTCACAAACACACAAGTTAGGTTCTATATTGAACTGGAATTGTTGAACTGGAAGAAAACTAGATATGTCAAAACACAAATCCACTTGAGCTAATTAATCCTATTGCAAAAGGTTCCTGAGACAAAGCTATTTTTTCTGTCATGGCATTGTGCCATCTAAACATACTTGCCCAGTTGGTGATTATGTGGATATTTCTAGAGCAGTGTTATAAATTTACCCCCATTCTAAGCTAATCAGAAGAAACAGAAAGAAATCAATGTTTTCTACTTCCAAATTACCGTTGTTCCTCAGAGATCCATATTGAGAATGGCACTATACCTTTATTATTGACATATGGGATAGAGTGCACCCTCAGCAAGTTTGCAGATTATACCAGGCTGAGTGGTGTAGGTCATATGTTTGAGGGAAGGGATGTTATATAGAAGGACCTTGACAAGCTTGAGGAGTGGACCCAGATGAACCTCATAAAGTTCAGCAAGGTCAAGTTCAAGGTCCTGCACCTTGTTCCGGACAATCCTCAGTTTCAATACAGGACGTATTGAGAGCAGCCCTACAGAGAAGGACTTGGGGGATGAAAAACTGGACTTCAGCCAGCAATGCGCACTTGGAGACTAGAAAACCAACTGTATCCTGGGCTGTGTAAAAAGAAGCATGGCCAGCATGTCAAGGGAGGTGATTCTTTCCCACTACTCCACTCTCATGAGGTCCTTGTCTGGAGTATTGCCACCAGCTCTAGGGCCCCCAGTATTAGAAAGACATGGACCTATTAGAGCAGGTCTGGAGGAAGACCACAAAAATAATCACAGGGCTGGAACATATTTCATATGAAAAACAGGCTGGGAGAGTTGGGGCTATTCAGCATGAAGAAGGCTCAGGAGAGACCTGATTGTGGGTTTTCAGTCGTTATTGTTTACCTTGGCTGAATGCCAGGTATTCACTGGGCCTGCGCCCACCTCCCTCCAGAGGGAAAGGGGAGGAGGGAAGGGGGCTAAGAAGGAAAAAACACTACGAAATTGAAACTGCCAAGAAAAGTGGCTTTATATGTACACAGAGAGGGAAAAAAATTATAAACACTATACACACAGAGAAGAACTAACAACAAAGATTACTTCACCACAACAAATGTTCTCCTCCCCCGAAGAAGCGGCCCATCCACAACCGCGGAACTACCCAGAAGAGAAGGAAGGACCTCACTTCCTTCTTGTCTTTTATATCTGAGCTGACGTAACATAGTATAGAATATCTTATTGGTAAAATATACATCAGGTGATCTATCCAAGTTGTTTCCCTTTCAGGGAGGGTAACAAACCCATTACATCAATACTAAAAGGGAGTTTACAAGAACGACAGAAAAAAGACTTTTTAATGGGGCCTGTAGTGAGAGGACAAAGGGCAATGTGTTAAAATGAAAGAGATTCATATCTGATATAAGGAAGACATTTTACACTGTGACATTGGTGACATGCTGGAACAGGTTGCCCAGAGAAGCTGTGAGTTCCCCATCCTTTCAAGTGTTCAAGGCCAGGTTGGATGGAGACCTGAGCAAGCTGGTCTAATGGAAGATGTCCTTGCCATGGCAGGGAGATTTGAACTAGGTGATCTTTAAAGTCCCTTTCAACCCAAGCCATTCTATGATTCTATGATTCATGCTTATTTCTTGTGTGTCAACTATTGCACTAAATTACACAGAAAAGGAGAATGATTCCATGCTCTGATTCATCTCATTAAGTCTTTATGCTTTTAAGTCTGCAACATATGTCAGAAGGAAAAGGAGTCTGAGGTCTTAATACTACGGTAATCTTAGTGCTGAACACTTTTTAAGGTGTACTTGCCCAGATGAAAAAAATAAAGCTTACTTACTTATTACTGTAAGGAAAAAAACACACCAGCAATTAAAAAACGAGACAGTGCTGGATAAATGAAGGGCATTTCTTCCAGATTTAAAAAATGTCTTAGGTGAAACACATTCAGAAAGATAATCCAGGGATTAGTGCAGTTTATAAATACCTGTGTCTCAGTTACTGACATTTCAAAGGATATCTTTTTCATGCTTATTAGGAAATGTAAAATGATAACCAAGCATCTTACTGTGACGCGCAAAATACTATCCTTGCATATGACTGTGGAAAATAGATACCAGAAGTGTTAAGAAAAAAAAAAGAAATTACCTAAACTGAAACTATGACAAGATATAATGTGATGTGAAGGACTTACCTGACAAGTAGTATTCCGTGTACTGCCACTTATACAGCCACATTTCCCTTGATATGGCAATAGGAAAAAGCTCCAAAATCTGTGCGAACACAGTACCAATCAAAACACTGTTTCTAACTGACCTCTTCTTAACTTTATAAATCTCAGACCCACGAAGCTGAGTTTTGCAGCTTCTTATTAGACAAAGATGATAGTAATCAATCATTTTCATTCCTGACTGATTTATGGATGACCCATATGACAAAGCCTACCGATCATTTTAATCTTAACAAAAGAAAGAAATTATAAACTGCAGTTGTCAATTCTAGTGACTCAACACCCTGTGATGCTGAACACTTTCTGTGACTTTTGTAAAAATTCAAGTGGGATTAATTTCGCCTAACTTATATATAATGTACCTAACTAATATATAACACATATATATAACTTATATAGGTAACTTATATGACATCTATAACCACAGCATAGATATGTTCATGTCTGAGACAGAAATCTAGCATTTTCAGTAGAGGAAAAATAAGAGATTTATCTGAGCTCTTGTAATGTTAGTTAGAAATTACTTGTGCTCTGAAAGTGACTGTTTCATTATTTTGATTATAAGGAGAGTGAAGACATCTAACTCATATGGAGAATGAATAAAGAAAGCACTTGAAGAGAAGTAGAAATGCATTCTTTAAATTGGTCTGAATGCTCTACTGAACAGAGCATCGAAGTATTTGCTTATTACATTATTTACTTTCTGTAAGATGTCCAGTGGGGAAAACACACTCAAAAACCACAGAAGATAAAAAGGAAGATATGTCCAATGCTCCAAGTCTTTACAAGTGTGCCTATCATTACAAACGAGAACCCCACTGAAACCTTAAACATCTTGCATAGCTGTGTGCAAAAATATTGATAAAACAAAGTCATTCCCCACAAACATATCAAATCCAGGAATTTTACATCATTTAAGTCCTCTATCATGCTAGTGAAAAAAAACAAAAATCACTGTCTTTCTGTAAGAAACTATAATGTATCATTAAATTAAACTATTATAGTAAGGATTTGGAGAAGAGCAGCAGTATATCTCTCTTATAAGCTTCTTAATAAGTAGGCGTAATGGAGTGAAAGGCAGAAAAAGTATGTTTTATTTCATGCAGGTTACCTTGAAAATTAATTATATATTATGTCTATTTATTAATGCATTTTATAATGCTTAATTATCTCAGTGAGTAAACTCTGTATATATATGAATGTGTATTTAAATTACATAGATAATGTCTTGACTGTAAGTACAGAAATATATTGAGAAATATCTATGTTCATATTTTCCAATTCATAAAATTCATGTTTAAATGAAGAATTCCATGTGGTATAATAGAAACAAAAGCAAAACTTTTAAACTTAACTGAAGAAACTGTTTAATGCTTGAAACAACAGTTATAAGAAGCAGAAGGTTTGTTTAAGGATATGGAAACTTCATAGGCTTAGTTATTGATGTATGAGAAAGAGAAAACAAAAAACAACAAATTTAGAGATGGACTTTTATTACAATAACTTTTTTTTCCCCCAGCAAATGAGATAAAAATTCGTGAAAATTAGCTTAGTTTTAATGTATCATATAATGGTCATTGAGGGGTCTTTTTCTGTTCTTTTTTTTTGCCTTCTCCACTTGATTGCCCATTTAACTTCTGTCTCAACAGAAAGATATACCACTCAATCACACTAACAGGATCAGTAAGATGGGTTTTCTCTAGTGAAATACAAATGTAACATCTGGACCCCAAACAGTACTTTCTTTAACTGTCTGAAGACACTAAGCACTTCTGAGACTTCAACATGACTCACAAACATATCAAGAAGACAGGACAGATGGAAAGGAGTAACAGCTACAGGCATTCCTACTCTACTAGTGTCCTATAGACTGAACAAAACATATTTTGGCCTTCTGTAGCTTAAGGCATCAGCCATAACTTATCTCTCTGGGGCAAAAAACAATTTTAGAAAAAGCAGAGCTCAGATAACCAAAGAGGATTATTGGACACATTTGCCTGAAAAATAAAAAGAGCAACATAGTTGACCTCTGAGACTAAGTGCGTAGTTCTCAAATCAAAACAAAATACTGTGCAAAATGATAGTTTAGTTGGCTGCAGAGAAAAAAAATCCCCTTTGTTCTGCCTTCTGAACTTGGAAGAACTTAGCTCCTTATGATTCCTGACCTATTGCATAATCATAGCTCATGAATATAAACAACAACCAGTCTGGAAAATATGAAATGGGAGTTGGAAGAAAGTTAACTGGAAGCCTCTGGAGTTTCAAAACTCTCACCAGAAGATGGGACAGAGAGTGAGGGTAGTCTGTCCCAGTTACTTCTGCAAATTTTTGGTCAACATCTACATCTGAAAATTTTAGGGTCTTTGATTTCTCTGTGTTGTTTATTATAAATATTCTTCATTTAATTTTTTTTGTTGGCTTCTTCTCCTATAGTGATTATTGATAGTGGTAATTTGCTTCACCATAGCATTAGATAAAATATTCTCAGTGACCTGATGTTTTTCTAGTCTATGTATCAGAGCCAAAAGATTCTCCTTGGTCATGAACTCTCAGCTTTATAATTTCATTGTGCATTTTGGTGCATTCTAAATATAGCTTATATAGACCTATAGTTGGGGTAAACAAGCAAATTTTTTTGCTCACTTATTTTCCATCATTTAATGTTTTTATTTCAATGCTACTACAAAAAATTGTGACAAAGACCAGCTTGTACATCTCTGTACAACAGTAAAAAAAATAAAATTAAACAAGATTTCTGATTTTATTCAGATTAATAAACCATTTATGTTCAGTTGCAATGATCCTTATGGACGAAGAAGAGGAATGAGAAAAATCTTTCTTGTGGGTGTTTTGTGTTTGGTGTTTTTTTGTTTTCCCTATTGTCTATGTAGTGATATCACAGAAACCAGACTGGGATATACCACCTACATACAGATGTCATCCCTGATTCTTTTATATGTTTTTTAATGTTGTGGTATACCATTATACCTTGTAAACACTCTAACTGTCCATTAGCTTAGCTTGATAGGATTTTTCTTATAGTAAGGTTCCTTAACTTCAAATGGCTTATTTATAGAACCTTGAACACATTGTCAAAGGAACTTTAATTCTGTGCCAAAATGCAATCCCTAAACTCTTGTCTTCCTACCATACATGAACCTGTTTCAAGCTTACGAGTAAAATTAATATTTTTTTGTTGTTGTTGTTTTGTTATAGCCATCCCTCTCGTCTTTGCTGGTTTATTTGTTTTCTTAAGGTAGAAGTTTTATGTCTTTTTGTTCTGTAAGGCCTTAGCAAAACAGTTTGTTCCATTGGGAAGAAGATTGTACCTTTGAGACTTGCACTTTCTTTTAGCCTGCAGAGCTATGAGATACTGGACTGTAAAGCCGTGACATTTTTATGAATAGAAATACTATTTTAGGTCCTTTAAAGATATTTCTGTGGCTCCCTCTGGGCACTGTACAGTCAAACTAAGATTCAAAAATAGATCCAATTAAATTTTTAAACACTGACACATTTGCAATTTCTTTGCTTATGCTAAGAAAACACAATGTCAGGCTGTAAATACAAGTGGGAAATGGGCATATCAGCTGAACCAAACCAAAAAGATAAATAAAATAATTTCTAAAAAAGTGCTTACTCTAAAATTTATCCTGAATGTAAGTGTAAACATAGTTCCTCAATTAATTTATATTAAATATATATAAACATTTTCTTCTTCCTTTACAATACAGGTAAAATCCTCACCCTCCAATCCGTTTTCCAAGTTAAAAAAATCCATTTGAGAAAAGAACCAAAAAGATACCCTGAAGGAGGCTGTTCTTTGAATACCAGGGTGTTGGGACAAACCTGACTGGATACCAGGTGACCACTACTCATCTCCTCAGCTGGACAGAGAAGAGAGAGAATATAATGAAAGGCTCATGGGTCAAGATAAGAACAAGGAGAGATCACTCACCAGTTACTGTCATGGGCAAAACAGGTTCAATTTAGGGAAACTAGTTTAATTTATTACCAATCAAAATCAGATAAAGAGAAAATAAAAATTAAATCTTAAAACTCTTTCCCCCCACCACTCCCTTCTTCCTGGGTTTAATTTTACTCCTGGTTTTCTCTACCTTCTCTCCTGCCCAGCAGTGCTGGGGAATGGGGAATGGGGGGTTCCATCAGTTCATCCATTACACGTTTTTGCCACTCCTTCCTCCTTAGGGGGAGGATGCCTCACACTCCTTTCCTGCTCCAGTGTGGGGTCCCAGTCCTCTACAAACTTCTCCAGTGTGAGTCGGAGTTCTCCCATGGGCTGCAGTTCTTCATGAACTGCTCCAATATGGATTCTTTCCTAATTCCTCCATAAACTCAGTATTTTTTCCTACTCTTTGGTATAAATTTGAGCAGTGTAGCTATAACATCCACTTACTCCTATGCTAAGCATAGTACGGGCTGATCAGGTTACATGCATTGATAATGTAACATTCAAAACTCACAAGGTCGTCTCCTCTCCCTTTCACTCTGTTCCTTCCCTCCCCTCCCCTCCTTTCCCCTCCCAAACCTTCCCTTCCCAAACCTTCTTCCCTTTCCTTCCCAAACCTTCCCTTCCCAAACCTTCTTCCCTTTGCTTCCCAAACCTTTCCTTCCCAAACCTTCTGGTCAAATTTACTTCTGGTCAAACTCTTTTTAGTCTAATTTTTAACATCTAAGTTTTAACATTCCTTATCTTGAGTTATTTGCCAGACTTCACTGTTATACCCGTGAGTTAAACAACTACAAAGACAAATCTTGAAAAACTATTACTCACACTTACTAATGCAGGTAGAAAAGCTACACTCAGTCAGGCCTTTAGTGATGGACATGGTTATGCAGCACATGTGGAACAGCAACTTAAAATACACATAATAATTATTTACTCAAGATGAGCTACCAACGTAAGCTGTGAAACACAAATGTTATCTGTATTACATGTAAGCAATTATAAAACTACATGTTATGTAATAGGTTCTAAGATTGGAGCTGATAGCCCCTAACAACTGTACTAGAATTCATTCTGGAGCTATAACTGTGCCACACAGCTGAAACCGGAACAATAGTCTGAACAAAAAAAAAAAAGAACAAAGAAAATTCTTTTGATTACTACTTGTTACAGAATGCACTGGATAAAAACCATTTATATAATTTCTTTTTCTTTTTTCTTAAATGTATCTCTTAGTGCTTCTAACAGGTTTTCAACAATAGATGTTAAACATATAAAAAAAAAACATTAGAATGCATTGTTTTTCCAATAATTGTTCTGTTTTATTATTCTCTTACAGTCCATAAAAGGCTTATTTTGCAATGTTGTTTCCCTCAGAGGAAAAGGAAGTAAAAGCAATAAATTAAAGAGACTTTAAATTCTTAGCAACTCTTAAAAAATAAACTATTAAGTTACTATATCCATTTTTAAGTTGTATAAAATCTAAAACTGAATTTCTTTCACTTCATGAAGGATTATGTTATTTCCCTCTAGATTTTAAAACCCTTTTGAATTCAGTGGGAAACTTGGTAAGGTTTAGCTCAGGTCCTGTTTATGAACATTATAGCAATAAGACTTTGTGGTGTTTGTACAAAACCTAATAAAAAAGTTTTGAATTTATTTTCAAAACCGATTCACAAACCCATCATCTGATCCATGAGAAAGCAATGGTTAAATCAGCTTTTTTGCCCAGACCACATCTGCATATACAGTGAGACAGACGTGTTTTGTGCAAATAATTGTAGTTCAAACAAATTCAGAGTTGCTAAGTCTATTATACTAGATGAGGATCTGGCTCAATTCTTGCACTAATGTTTAGATGCAAGACGGGCTATACAGACACTCACTTAAAATAATTTATGCTTCTGGCTGAGCTGTTCTTACCTTACATAACAGAAGTAAATTCATTTTTGGTGATTTTGTTTATTGGCAAAAAAAGAAGTTCTCTTTTACAATAAATGCAGTTTTACAGAGTACATTTGCTTACCTATTTGCTATATTAGCTTGCTGGTACCTGACAACAGTGGGAACTGCAGTATCTCAATTGATATGTTTTTTCCACACTCATTTCAGATCCTTGCAGCTGGAAGCACTCTCCAATGCTTCTACTGTTAACAGTTGTTCATATTTTCTTTTGTTTCATATTAAAGGCCATAACACTCTCAGGAGCAGGGCTATGAGTTCATTGATATTGCTACTCACTTCCCAGGGAAAGTGTTCATCCTGTGCTGACCCCCAATAGAGTCACTCTGCTCTTAAGCTTATTCCCTTGTGAGATAAGGAGTGGTCTTGCAAATACCAGCAAGATGCACCCTCATGAGACATACATTTCTGACACTTTCCTCCTCGGGCAGTCTTTATATTTTCAGAGTCTCTCACTTTAATTCAAGTTGTCTTTTCAAGAGCCAGAAGGCCTGGTTGACACTTCTGTTTACACCTTCCTCTATTTTTGGAACTTGACCATGTTATGTGATTTCAAAATGCATTTTTAAACTAGTCTGCAACAAAGTTTGTAGCATGTTCAGAAGGTGGAACAACTTCTCAGAAATGGTTCTGCTTTCTTTGAATTATTTGCAGACACCATCTTCTCTTTCACTCCCTAGCACTCACTGATACAAAACTGTCTTAGAGTCAGTGTATGAGACCTGCGGAGAAAGACTCCACAGTGAGATCTCAGGTGCTTCTTGAAAACTACTTCTGAGGACCATGCAGGGTATAGACAAGGAGTAATTGGATATTTGCACAAAAGGTCCAAACTAAAACTATGCAATGAAAGCTTGCTCAGCTACGGGATGGCCACTGTACTCAGCCCTGATGCAGTGACACAAATGTTGTCTGTTGCTCAGGCATTATCAGTAGGCTGATATATAGAGGCTTCTGTCTCTGGAGAGAGATATCACCGCTCTTCAAGTGAGGCTATCACTGTACAAACAGATGAGGAAGGGCACCTCTCACATGTGGCTTTTCCCATTAAACACTTTCTTTCTGAATTTAGCTTTTTTTTCTGAACAAGCTAACCCAAAGTCTATGACTTTACTTCCTTCATATGCATTTAAATATCTTTAATATTACTTATATTGAGAGTTGTGTTTTACTTGGCCTTTATAGGTACAGATCTATCTCCAATGGTAGTGTTCTGCGAAGTACACATCATCATGAATCACTTACTAAGGTCATAAAATTCACCATATTACCCATTTAGATCAAACCAGAACCTATCCTTGCAGGACACTGGGGTATGTTTCTACAGAGGAAGAGGCCTTGTTCTTCCATTCAGGATTCTCCAGAGGAAAAAAAGGGACAATCCTCCAAATAAAAATGGCAAGCACTAATTAATATTGTGATCTGAAAATATGTGAAATAGGTTCTTTTCCTGCACAAAGAAAGCCAGACTCCTTGGACTTAAAACTGGTCAAGTAGTATTAGTGAATCTAACACCTTTAAATTATTTAATGCTGTTATGCACAAGCTGGTCCTAAAGCTTGTCATGTCTTTTGTTCGTTGGCATTCAAACTTTATAAGAAGAGCAATTCTTCTGTGGTTTTCTCATAAGCCGTTCATAAACTGATTACTTGGCCTTTATACAGTATTATTTGAACTGCATGATAGATCACTGAAATTTCTGCATTATAACATAAACCAAGTAATGAACATCAAACATCTTATGGAAAATGAAAATGTGAAACTAGATCAAGTTAGTAAGTTAAATATTTAGAAGTTTAAAGCATCTGACTATCATATGAATATTCATGACTGATCTAATCCAGCAAACACTTACTTGCATGCATATTAACAAACATAATTGCTTTTATTATTTGGTAGGTTTAACTTTCATGGGTAGATTACAATATCTTTCTTTGTCTCCCCTATCATCTGATCTCACAAATGGTGTTTTAGTTACACATACGCTACCTTTTATAGGTACACATAAATCTGTATGTATCAATAATTTTCTTTTCTTCTGTCATATTTCCTTTCAAGCCTTCCTTTGCCTAAGGGTTACTTTTCCTTTTTTTTTTCCTCTTCTCTGCAGTGTAAAGCAGATAGAGGCTTTCATTTCAGTTGTTTGCTTTCCAAGTATTGAGATTCACTATTTCTTTGTTCAGGTTGATATAGAAGGTAACTGCCTTTGGCAGCAATTTTCTCTTCAGCAAGATGTCTAACTGTTAGTATTCATTTCTTTGTTTTAGCAAGCACCAAGAGTAATTATGATGGTCATTTCTTCTGAAACAATGAGATGTCAGTCAAAGAAAGAAGAAATATCAAGGAATATCAAGTAGTGAACCTTTAAAATATATGAACAATATATGCCACATGTTAACTTGAACAAGTGATGGCAAAAAGATTAATCAGCTCCATCCCTAGAGGAGTCCAAGACATGAACTTTTATGCTAATAGCTTCTGGACAGGACAAGAAATTTCTTCCTATTGCGAAATAAATGACTGCTATAAACTTCAGGTAAGGGCATCACTGTGACTTTATATACAGAGGGCACCAAAAACAAATTGAGAAGGAATCTGAAACAGCAAACTATAAAAATACCCAAACTAATATATCCAGGTCTCCTTATACCTAACAACGTCCAAATAAAACACAGAGGATTGTTTGTTCCTGTGACTATCTAATATTTTGGTTCACAAGAATCATAGAATCAGCTGGGTTGGAAGTGACCTTCGAGATCATCAAGTCCAACCCTTGATCCACTACCGCTGCGATTACTAGACCATGGTACTAAGTGCCACACCCAGACTCTTTTTAAAAATCTCCAGGGATGGAGAATCCACTACTTCCCCGGCTAGCCCATTCCAATGCCTGATCACCCTCTCTGTAAAGATATTCTTTGTGATATCTAACCTAAACCTCCCCTGGCACAACTTGAGACCATGCCCTCTTGTCTTGCTGACAGTTGCCTGGGAACAGAGACCAACACC